TAGTTTATTTAGCGAGTGTCCATGATGGTTAGGTTATCTAGTGAGTGTCCATGATGGTTAGGTTATTTAGCGAGTGTCCATGATGGTTAGGTTTTTTAGCGAGTGTCCATGTTGGTTAGGTTATTTAGCGAGTGTCCATGATGGTTAGGTCATTTAGCGAGTGTCCATGATGGTTAGGTTATTTAGCGAGTGTCCATGATGGTTAGGTTATTTAGCGAGTGTCCATGTTGGTTAGGTTATTTAGCGAGTGTCCATGATGGTTAGGTTATTTAGTGAGTGTCCATGTTGGTTAGGTTATTTAGCGAGTGTCCATGATGGTTAGGTTATTTAGCGAGTGTCCATGATGGTGAGGTAATTTAGTGAGTGTCCATGATGGTTAGGTAATTTAGCGTGTGTCCATGTTGGTTAGGTTATTTAGCGAGTGTCCATGATGGTTAGGTTATTTAGCGAGTGTCCATGATGGTTAGGTTATTTAGGGAGTGTCCATGATGGTTAGGTTATTTAGCGAGTGTCCATGATGGTTAGGTTATTTAGCGAGTGTCCATGTTGGTTAGGTTATTTAGCGAGTGTCCATGATGGTTAGGTTATTTAGTGAGTGTCCATGATGGTTAGGTTATTTAGTGAGTGTCCATGTTGGTTAGGTTCTTTAGCGATTGTCCATGATGGTGAGGTAATTTAGCGAGTGTCCATGTTGGTTAGGTTATTTAGCGAGTGTCCATGATGGCTAGGTTATTTAGCGAGTGTTCAATCACCTCTCCAGCAAAAAATCAGATCCACACACCGAAAAGATAGACGTCAACAAAGTCGTAATTAATCGCAGTAACAGTTCCATTTCTGGTTGTTTGAAATCCGTTTTAGCTAAAGGTCTAAACTTTGCTGTCACACCGAGACACTTACCGGTTAATGATATCATTGCCCATGTCGACGTTGCACTCAAGGGCTTGAGTCACATCGCTGCAGACGTAGCAAGATCTGAAATCGCTGCAACCCTCAAAAACGCTAAGTTGCCACCCAGCAACATCAGCAAAGACGAACGTTTTGAATTATCTCAATTAAAATAGAGAGATGATATTGTCGTCCTCTCAGCCGACAAGGGCAATGCCACTGTCATCATGGACAAAACAGAATATAACAACAAAATTCAAGAACTGCTCAACGATGGCAGCTATACAAAAATAAAATAGATCTCACCAACAGCCTGGTTACCAAAACGAACAAAATCATCTCTGATTCAACAGCATTAATTGATGAGACCAAACAGTTCTCGTTGAAACCCTCTGCTGCCAGACCACCAAGATTATATGGCCTTCCAAAGATACACAAAGAAGATACACCCCTTCGTCCCATCGTCTCTACTATCAACTCCCCCACCTATAAACTGGCACGTTTTCTTGCTGATATACTGCGACCTTTCACTGGAAAAACCACCTCTGCGGTTCTAAATTCTACTCACCTGGTATCGACAATCAAAGGCATTTCCCTGTCCCCAGACGACCTGCTTGTCAGTTTTGATGTGGTGTCCTTGTTCACCAAAGTCCCGGTACCTGACACCATCGCTATCATTGAAGACCTGGTTCATCAAGGACTGCACACTGATGTACCCCCCCTGGTGAGACATTGCTTAACCAACACATACTTCACCTGGAATGGAACTTTCTACCAACAAACTGAGGGCACCCCAATGGGCTCCCCCCTATCTCCAGTTGTAGCCAACGTATTCATGGAAAAATTTGAAACTGACGCCATCCAGACTGCCACTCTTCGCCCGACCTTATGGAAGAGGTACGTGGATGAAACCTTTGTCATCTGACCACATGGCCAGCCTGCTCTAGACCAATTCCGCGACCACATCAATTCCATACACCCTGCCATCAGATTTACCATGGAGGTCGAAAAAGATGGCAAACTACCCTTTTGGATGTCTTAATTAAAAGGAGACATGATGGTTCAATGAGCCACTCTGTCTACAGGAAAGCTACCCATACAGATGCTTACTTGAAACCGGATTCCTACCACCATCCATCCCAGAAGAACTCCCTCATCAAGACTCTATACCATAGAGCCCAATGCATTTCCGATCAGGAACACATTACCAGTGAACTCAAGCACGTACACCAGGCTCTCAGGGCTAATGGTTACTCCGACTACACAATCCGCAAAGCCATCACTCCAGTCATGAAGAAGGATCCTCTTGTGGAGCCACTCAAAACCATCACCTTACCCTACATTGCAGGGGTCACTAAAAAGATCTCCAAAATCCTGAATAAACACAAGATCCAGGTCCGATTCAACACAGTACATAAAATCTGTGATCTAGTTCCATCTGTAAAAGATGCTGTTCCAGACATACAGTACCCGGGCGTTTACAAACTAAAGTGCCTCTGTGGTAGTAGCTACATTGGAGAAACCAAACGACATATCTCGGACCGCATCTGCGAACATAAAGCAGACTTGAAACACGGTAGAACGAACTCCTCTGGCGTGGCAGATCACTGTTATAATTCAGTGGGCTCACATGACATTGACTTCTCCAAGACGGAGGTTCTTTGCAAACCAACCAGCTACCATGAGAGATTCGTTCATGAGACCATTCACATATACAACCACAGAGACAATTTCAACCAAGAAGATGGATTCTGGCTTAGTAACCATTGGAAAGATGTTTTAAACCATTTCCGTTCTTAATTAATTGCATTTTACGATGACCTTCAGACCGCAGCTCTTTCGCCAGCATTGCCTCTTAATACCTCTCACACCACGGTTAATGGTATGGTTTACAACATGGAGTATAACAGCGCCTCGCAGCTGTCTCTCTCCCCCTCCTCTGTTCCGACCATGGATGAACTCGTCCATCTGAACGGGACCCGTAGCTATCAGTGTTGCTAAAGTTGAGGGTAAGAATCCACCCATTTTTCGCCATATAGCATTGTGATATATAACGACTTATTGTTGGTAGCTTAGCTGATTGGAGAATATAGAGTTTATTGATAACATTGAGGTAATTTATATTTTAGTATGTTTATTGGTTCACTATATAGTATTCATTATATATTGTATTGTATACCCAGTTACTGTGAATAGCTCAGATGTGTAGGCCTTAACTTCAACATAGCCATTTATGTGACCAGTCACAAGCTAATCACTCAGTTATTTCAAAGCTAAATTCGCCTAGTTATTTCAATGCTAAATTCTCCTGTTTGATTTGTACTAGGTGCCTCTGTGAATGTGTATGCTCTGACTTTAGCATAGATATTTCTGTGACCAGTTACAAGCTAATTACTCAGCTATTTCAATACTAAATTCTATGCTAATTCCTTTGTCAAGGAGTGCCTCTGCGGATGTGCATACTTTAACTTAGCTATTTCAATGCTAAATTCTATGCTAACTCCTTTGTCAAGGGGTGCCTCTGCGGATGTGTATGCTTTAACTTTAACATAGCCATTTCTGTGACCAGTAACAAGCTAATGACTCAGCCATTTCAATGCTAAATTATATGCTAATTCCTTTGTCAAGGCGCTTTGTTTCTTCTCACACAGCTTAAAGGTCGCGATCTGAGCGTGGCTTTTTCACTCCAGCGCTGTCCTCCAGACAGTCTCGTCCCCTTCACCTGATGAAGGCCGCTTGTGTTGTGGCCGAAACGTCGTGAGAATATTGTTATTTTATTTTATCAATTTATTATTTTATTCTCATTCTACGTGACTTCACCGAAAGAACCAAAGAAGACTTTACAATTTTATTTCGTCGTACGGGTGTCGTTGCGACTGCTTGCGGCCCGTGTTGACTTTACTCCGGGGGACATTTTCACCACGAACACCTCGATGCGCTTCTGGTGTCGCGTCTCGGCTCGCAGTCTAGACTGGTCGCCAACTTTTCAACTCGTAGCTAGCACAAGGTTTGTGTTTGTGTTCATGAAGCCATGATACCAGTAGCGAATATCTTGAACCGGTCTTAGGCCTCCACTGGGTCGATCCGGCCTTGTATATGAGTACATGATGCAACGTGTAATCATCAGCGCTGGGGAGACAAAGGTGGTCTGGTGTGGTTCTGGCCGTACCGTCCCATAGACTGCAGTTCCGGCTTGAATAAATGCTCGCTAACAACACTCGCTCTATCAGCTTGCATAGGCTACACATGAATGATGTGCATGTATGTACGTACACGATAGCGTGCCCCTGTGTACGCGTGTGCACTTGCAAATTCATGTGTACGTGTGTGCGTGCGCATACTAATGTGTATTTGTGCATATGCGTATATGAGTGTACGAGTGTACGCGTGTGTGCTCAAAGGCGACCGTGCGTAGTGCTGACCACCCACTCCCTCATATGCCGTGCCAGCCTTTTATAGGTGCTCGCTAACAGCACTTGCCCCAACAGTCTATTAATGCCATACGGAGGGATCTTTGTCTCGTGTGTGGTAGTGCTTCACGATGGACTTGACCAACAGGAGGGTCCGGTGTGCGAGCGATGCAGGAGAAACAGGCAGTGTTGGTTTATTGCTTCCACAGTTTGGTTGTCGATTTCAGGATTTTTCTGCCCTCTCCTAACCACCGCGCGTGCGGTACAAGGCGGTAATGGCCATAGAAACCCACAACATCAACAACAACAACGACGATAATGTTAATAATAACAAACCCATTACGCGTCCGTCCCTCGCTGCACCGCTCTGTTAGTGTGTACGCCGTTGACATCGCCCCCGTTACACCTGCCGCAGTAGAGCGTCCCAGGTGATGAGCCACCGCCGCGACAACTTCAGAGCGAATTGGCGTGGCGCGGAGCAACGCAGCCGGCTCGATTCGCCCGCCCGCCCGCCGCCTGCCCGCCGCCGGCCGCCGTGCTGCTTGCTGCTGCTGCTGCTGGTGTTGTTGTTGGTGTTGTTGAGCGATCTGCGTGCGCGCTTCTTTGCCCAATCGCGCCGGTTTGCCTTGTCTCTGGATCTGTAGCCGTTGGCCGATCGACGGCTATGTTGGTTCGGTGTTACCGGCTGATCGCTCCGTTTGGCAGATGGTGCCGGCTGAACGGCGTTGGCCAGTACATTGGCCAATGTTCCGGCTGGATCACGAAGCTGTCTGTTTTGGCTGGATGGTATATTGGCCGATTTTGCCAGTTGGCTGATCTACGCACCGGCTGGGCTGGTTGGCTGGATAGAAATATAGTTCTCTTGGTGGGTGGAAGAACACACGCGTGCCCTGTTTTTTTATTATTATTATTGCTTTGGTAATTTTAATTTAGGTTCTGTTTAACTGGCGGCCTTTTGGGCCTCATTTTGCCGGGGACGCGATCGCATGGGCGGCCTCGCGTTGTTGTATATGAGCCTCGCCAGAGCCGAGGCGAGCCCGGCCGGGCGATAGAGCCGAGCCGAGCCGGGCTGGGCGCCAGAGCCGAGCCGAGCACTCGCACCCCACGCGTGATCGCGAGATTGCTGAGCGACCCCTGCGACGACCTCGCACGTTGCTCCAGACAGACGAAGCCGATTGTTGAACGCGTGTTAACTGCTTCATTGAACAAGGGCGCTGACCACGTGCGCCGTTACAGTCGAATCGTATGCCAACCGGCAAGGCGACTTCACGATGGAATAGAGATAAAGATCCCCAGTATAGCCTTCACAGACTGTTGGGGCAAGTGCCGTTAGCGACCACATAATGAAGGCCAGAACGGCACACGAGGCGGTGGGTGGCTACCACCACGAAGGAACAAAGATAAAGATCCCCCGTATTGCCTTCACTGACTGTTTGAGGCAAGTGCTGTTAGCGAGCACCTATGAAGGCCTGCACGGCACACGGGAGGATGGGTGGTCGGTACCACGCCCGACCGCTTTTGTCTCCCGTGTGGCGATGTTTACACACCGCACCAGGAACTCGTTTGAGGCTGAGTCTACCTAGGGGAGGCCCAGGACCGGTTCAGATAATTTTCACTGGTGTTGGCCATGAAAGGAAATCGAAGCTGGGTTGCCGCGTTCGTAGCGCAGCGCGCTAAACCTCTGCACCACCGCTCCTCAAAAGACAGACACAAAGACAAAGATCCTCCATATAGCCTTAACGTACTGTTGAGGGAAGTGTTATTAGCGGGCACCAATGAAGGCCGGGATGGCAGAGGAGGAGGTGGGAAGCCAGCACCACGCCCGACTGCCTTTATCTCCCCAGTGGCGATGTTTACACAGCGCAGCAGGTACTAATTTGAGGCTGAGTCGATCTAAGGGAGACCCAGGACCGGTTCAGATAATCGTCACTGATGCTGGCCATTGAGCGGGAATTGAATTCGGGTCACCCATTTCGTAGCGCAGCGCGCCAACCGCTACACTACCGCTCCCACACAGACACGCTCCCACACAGACACGCTCCCACACAGACACGCTCCCACACAGACACGCTCCCACACAGACACGCGCACACGCGCGCACACATTTCGCGGATAATAATATGTCTCTGAAAACCTATCTTGTTTAATGAATTACCTTAAAGAACTACACCAATACGCTTTTACATACGTGGAAATGATCATAACACAAACAATGGTTGTAATAAACAAAGTAAATACGAATAAATATGAAAGTATTAAATCATACTTTATCAATTATTTCGATTTAAAGCTTTCGTGACTGCAATGATTCATCTTCTTTGGTTCTTTCGGTAAAGTCACGTAGAATGAGAATAAAATAATAAATTGATAAAATAAAATAACACAATATATTCTCACGACGTTTCGGCTACAACACAAGCGGCCTTCATCAGGTGAAGGGAGCGAGACTGTCTGGTAGGACACTCCAGCGCTGTCCTACCAGACAGTCTCGCTCCCTTCACCTGATGAAGGCCGCTTGTGTTGTGGCCGAAACGTCGTGAGAATATTATTGTGTTATTTTATTTTATCAATTTATTATTTTATTCTCATTCTACGTGACTTTACCGAAAGAACCAAAGAAGATTTATCAATTATGTCGTGTAGAGTTCCAAGTTCACGAATTACAAGGTAATACTGGACTTCACCACGCTGTTCGGTGTTGATTGGTGAAGTCTTGGTGGGGGAGGGAGGAGGGGGTGGTGGTAGGCGTTGACCTAGGGCTGGTTCACAGCCCTCTCACCCACAGCTGATGTCATCCGTGGTCAGGAATTGAACTCAGGGAGCCGAGGGTCAAAAGGGCAGTAGTGCGAATGCCGCCGCGTCTGTCTTTCCCGCATCTCTTCCGTGATCATCATCACCACCACCATCATCACCACGACCACCACCTTCATCAGCGCAATGATCATCAGCCCAATTCGCGCATGCGTTACGGAGCAGATGGCTGCGGGCTCGTGGCGTTGCGCGGTGACTTGCAGTAGCAACGCGTGGGCGAGTTCGCAGAAACGTACACTGCGCGTTTGCGTCGGGGTTTTTTATATTTTTATTTATTCCCGCCGTTTAAATAGAAGTTAATAACCTCCATTATGAACCTATTAGCACGGGCCCGGGACATTCTCGGTCATTACAGGTCGCAGTGACAATACCGACTATGAGTAAAGCTGCGGAGGCTGGCGCGTCCATTGGAGCGAGTGGGGGCGAGGGCGGAGGGTGTGCAGTCTGTGATTAAAGAACGCTGTAGACGTTTGTGTTGACGAGGAGATGGCGATTAATATCGGATCACTCAGCAAAACGATTCTTGCATTGAATCGCGCGTGCGTCGAATCGATCTTTGTTCGATGAATTCCGTACAGGAAGTCACCGACTTACAAACGCCCGACTTACGAACATCCACACTTACGAATAAGCTTCCATAAGAGATTTATTTTGTAACCCGTGCGTAAACATCGCTACTGGGGAGTCAAAGATAGCCGTGCATGGTACTCGCCATCCACCCCCTCGTGTGCCGTGCCGGCCTTCATAGGTGCTCGCTAACAGCACTTGCCTCAACAGTCTATTAAGGCTATACAGAGGATCTTTGTTGTGTGTGCGCACATGTGCGTGCCCGCCTGTGCATGTGCAATTGTGGGGACTCCTTATGCCCCTTCCGACAAGCAAACCAGCATCAGGACTTAAGGTAAGTGAAAATAAAACTTTTTTTCTTTTCACATTATTACTTTATTTTATGTTGTATTTGCTCTGCAGTCTTTATCACCATATTACATGCAAGTGTACAGTAATTATTCTTATTTATGAGTTTAACAATGCTTCCATTTTATGTTGAACCGTAATATGTTTTATAACGCAACTGTGTGGGCATTTAAATACAGTAGATTATTGTGCTCCGACTTATGAACCGTTCTTTTCACGGATGGGTCTCCGAAACGGAATCTGTCCGTAATTCGGTGACTGCCCATGTTTGTATCGTAATATGAACCACGTGACCAGATGAAAATCTTTTCAGTCATCGAACTGCAAAGCTGAATCGACGACAATTTGTTAAACCACATACTCTGTGCCAACGTACTGCGACGGGTCTAACATAGCCGAGTTCTTACATCAACACCCGTTTTGCGACGTGGCCGGGAGATGGCGGGACTGCAATGGATTCTTAAATAGATCTGTTGAGCCTTTGGATGCGTTAACCTCGCTTGAATGTTAGGGTTTCTCTGGGTCCCCTGGTGTATAAACTAAAACATTTATTTGCATATTACCAGGTAAGGCTCACTGATCTATACAGCTCTTTTCAGAAGCGATCTGGTCACAAATTATAACTCAACGAAGTGCCTTATCACGTGGACATTCATAGCAGCCAAATAATATAACGCATGATTTTAAACGTGGAAGGAAAACCCGGAGGACCCGGAGAAAAATCCACGGCACCATGGGGAGAACATGCAAACTCCAAATATACAGGCGTCATGGTCCAATAGTCAAGTGACCCAGTGGGCTGTAATCCTGATGTTTTTTTTTCTATTTAGTTCTCTCGATGTAACAATTCGTTTGTTCGCGTGTCTGTCTCTAACGCAACCGGAACATACAGGAAGAAAACTAAACAAGTATGGATGGCTTCTGCTCTGTTCTTCCCGAAAATAAAGCCCCTGCGTCGGGCCGTGGGGCCACTGCAGGAAACCGAAAAGGAAGCCGTTGTAACTAACGCCTTGCGTCCTCTTCCTTCCGACAAACAGAGAGAAAGGTCGTGCGTCCACTCAGCTCAATCAAAGTAGCAGTGGGTAGAGCGTGCAGCCTCCTCTGCGTGTTTCTCCAAGGTTTGTTACATCCTCCTGTACGAGTCTCGATCGCCTGTCCGTCTCCCCAACGCACTTTCCAACTTTGCTGCACCAACGATTGTCTCGATTGCTTTGTTCTACTGTATTTTGTTTGCATTTTGACCACAACTATTGCGGTTAATGCAGACATGATTCATTGTAAAACAAAGTTTCAGTTTGGTGTTTTACCAACTTAACACCTGTTTTGTTGCCAGATAAAAGGGGAAAAACCTATTCTCATGCTTTTCTAGTTTATGCTTACAGCGCATAATGCATTCTAATTGAGATACAATCGCGAATTATTGTCATTTATTTTCGGTTTATATATGAACATTAATATTTCCATACTCTTTGGTTCTTTCGGTAAAGGCACGTAGGGTAGAAATAAAACAAAATAAATCACGACGTTTCGAACGCAACACAAGCGCCCGTCTTCAGGTGAGAATATCACGGTAGCCGCGATGTCTGCTGATTGCAGCAACGATGTCTGTGGCGACAGCCGCCGTGTCTGCTGCGAGGAGCAACGGTGTCTGCTGCCATATTTCTACCTCCGTGACTTTACCGAAATAACCAAAGAGTATGGATTCCTGCAGTCACGAAAGCTTCAAATCAAGATTCATATTTCCGTTTGAATCATCGGTCTGTTTGTAACGTATTCGCCATCCTTTTAGCCGTGGAACTTCTTCCGCGGGTCGTGCCTGCTGGCGAATACACGTTTCGGGCGGCCACACATCGACTTGGCATCACGAGGAACCGACCACCGGTGACACAATGTGGTGGCGACGAGTCAGAAGGAGAGGGAGGATGGGAGGGGGGGGTCGCTTGCACTTAGACCGCAGAGAGCGCCACCTGCCGTGCAGCCTTCGCCCCACGCC